CCCGGGCAGTGACTCGAACTCGACGCTCGACTGCTCCTCACAGCAGGCGCTCGTGCTCGGGGAGCACTCCTCGGGGCAGGTACAGTCAGCTTACTCCTCGGTCTTTCCTGCTGGCGCGACGCCGACAGGGACCGCGCTCCAGGATGTGCGCCTTCGCGGGTGGCTCGATCTGCCGGGCGATGAGTTCGACGCCGCCAGACCCAAGGCCGTCATCCTGATCACAGATGGCGAGGCGACCGAGCGAATCAATATCAACGGCCAGATCTTCGAGTGCTCGGTGCCAGGTCACCAGGGCGCGCTCTCGGAGGTCCAGCAGTTGTTCGCGGGTGGGGTCAAGACTTACGCCGTGGGCTTTGGCTCGGCGGCGAACATCCAGAAGCTCCAGGACTACGCGCAGAGCGGCGGCACGAACAGCGCCTACACCGCGAGCGACACGCAGTCCTTGCTGCAAGCGCTCCAGGTCATCACCGGGCAGGTCATCGGCTGCACCTTCCAGCTCGACATGACGCCACAGGACGCGAGCGCGAACATGTGGGTCGAGATCACGGTGGATGGTCAAACGCAGTACTACTCCACAGGAGCTGATCCTGAGGTCTCGTATGATCCGGGCTCGAACTCGATCATCATCTCTGGTCAAACCTGCGAGACGCTGCGCGACACCTCGATCGAGGAGACGCAGCTACGCGTCAAGTTTGGCTGCCCGGAGAGCTGCATGCCGACCGTAGAAGAGTGTGACTACGTCGACAATGACTGCGATGGCGAGGTCGACGAGGGGTGCTCGCTGACCCAGTGCACGCCGCGCGGCATGGGCTGTACGACGGACCAGGATTGCTGCAATGGCGCCTGTAACTCGGGCACCTGTGACCCGAACAAGAGCGATATGGACAACAACCCGGACAACAACACCCCGAACAACTCCAACAGCTGCAAGCTCAGCGGAGAGGAGTGCACGGAGCACTCTGATTGCTGCTCGAACGCTTGCGGCATGAGCGCCGGGTCGATCACGGGCTTCTGCATCACGGGTTGATACCCACGACGAGGCGAGCAGTCACAACTCGATTGCTCGCCGGTCGAATAGATGCTACCACTCCCACCGGTTTGCCCACGAGCGGCCGCGCCCCCCTAGCCCAATGGCAGAGGCAGTCGACTTAAAATCGATCCAGTCCGGGTTCGAGTCCCGGGGGGGGCATCTCCTTAAAAATAAAGCTGGAAGAGACGCTAAAGCTCTGGAGACACAGGGCACATTGGCCGTGTCACGATCTTTTTGCGCCTTAATTTACTATCTGGGGCATCTTATCTTGGCGAGGTGCACGAGGTCGTATTGGCTTCGGCTGAACGAGAAGAAAAACGCACCGTACATTGCAAATTTTTGGCGGTGGTGGCATCGAAGTCCACGTGGTGGGTTCGGAGTATGCGTGGGAGAAACCAAAGGTTCGTTCGAAATGATCGTTTGGTTTTTTCCACTTTTTCGAGTACATCGCGCGCCTAAGATGTGGTTGGTGTTATGAGCGTCCAGACGATTTGGAGTGAGGGTTCGAGGATATGACAAGCGTCCCCCCCACCGAACCAGAAAGGGAGGAAGAGGAGGAGAAGCAGCCGTTGCGCGAGCACGAGCTTCGCGAGGCATTCGGCGACGTGTTGAGTCTTCTCGACGAACACTTCTCGATGAGCACCTCGACCTCCAAGATGTCGAGCTTGCTGGGGCGGTTCTCCAACTTCTCATCCAAGACCTGGTATGACGACGGCCTGAACGCCATCGCGGGCCTCGACCTGATGGTGGCGCACGTCGAGGCGTCGACGCGCGAGACGATGATCTCGTTGAGAGAGGGGAGCGGCGTCTGGGTCACGCAGTTCACGCGCGACAACGGAGAGCGCGGTTGGCTTATCCTGTTGAACTGGGCTCGCGGAGGCGCCGAGGCGAGGCTTTACCGCGGCAATCAGCGCCGCGCGATGCACCTGACCCTTCCACAGGTCGCCGAGATCTTGCGCTCGGACCAATCCGAAGTCCACGACTGGTTGTTGGTCGAGCCGCTGCTTCCTCTGCAAGCGCTGAGCATGCCCAACGGGCACCACCATCATGACGAGGACGCGTCGGCGCGCGACGCGGTCAGGCGACTGCGCGCGTTGATTGGCCTGGAGCGAGGATCACTCGGAGCGATCATCGTCTACTCGTTGGTCATCGGCATCCTGACGTTGATCACACCGATCACGGTCCAGGCGATGGTCAACACGATCGCCTTCGGCGCGATGTTGCAGCCGCTTATCGTGTTGACGCTGGTGCTGCTCGTCGGTCTCTTCTTCCTCGGTGCGCTGCGCGTCATCGAGTATTACGTCGTCGAGTACATCCAGCGGCGCCTGTTCGTCAAACTCGTCACCGACCTCTCGCACAGGTTGCCCAGGGTCGATCTGGACAAGCAGGAGAAGTCCTTCACGCCCGAGCTGCTCAACCGCTTCTTCGATATCATCAATATCCAGAAGGCGACCTCGAAGATCCTGCTCGATAGCCTGGAGATCATCCTCCAGATCTCGATCGGCATGCTCGTGCTGGCGTTTTATCACCCTTATCTGCTCGCGTTCGACGTGGTGCTGGTGATCCTCATCCTGTTGACCGTCTTCGCGCTGGGGCGAGGGGCGCTCAAGACGAGCATCCACGAGTCCTCGTCAAAGTATGAGGTCGCCGCGTGGCTCGAAGAGATCGCGCGGCACCCTCTGAGCTTCAAGTCCAAGTCAGGGATGAAGGTCGCCGCAGAGCACGCAGAGCTGCTCGCCACGCAATACCTCGAACATCGCCACAGTCACTTTCGCATCGTGCTCCGCCAGATCCTCGCGGCGACCATCACCCAGGCGCTCGCCTCGGCGGTATTGCTCGGCATGGGAGGATGGCTTGTCCTCAAGGGGCAGCTGACGCTCGGTCAGCTCGTCGCCGCAGAGCTCATCGTGACCTCGGTGGCCGCAGGGCTCGCCAAGCTCGGGAAACACCTCGAGACCTATTACGATCTGGTGACGGGCGTTTATAAAGTGGGGCACTTGCTCGATCTTCCGCTCGAGCGGAGCGCGGGTCAGCTCCCCTTGCAGCGAAAGGAGCCTTACGCCATCGAGCTCGAGGATCTTTGCGTATCGCGTGGTTCGACCGCGTTCACGGGCGTGAACCTCGACATCAAGGCCGGTGAGCATATCGGCATCGTCGGCGAGGATGGCGCGGGCAAGTCCGCGCTGCTCGATGTGATCTATGGGTGGCGCACGCCAAACAAGGGGATGATCCGCTATGATGGGATCGACCTCAAGCGCCTCTCGCTCGAGGTCCTGCGCGATGACGTCGAGTTGGTGCGCGAGGCCGACGTGCTCGAGAACACCATCGACGCCAACATCCGCCTCGGTCGGATGACGCGTTCGCCCGAAGAGGTCCGCAGCGCGCTCGACGCGGTCGACCTGCTCGACGAGTTCAACAGGCTCGAGCATGGCATCGACACGCGCCTCGTCGCCAACGGCGCGCCGCTCTCGAGCGACCAGCTCTCCAGGCTGATGCTGGCGCGCGCCATCCTCGCCAAGCCCAAGGTCCTGCTCCTCGACGGGACGCTCGATCGGATCAGGCCGGAGCGGCTCCAACGCGCGCTCGGCGCCCTGCTCTGCCAGACGCGAGACTGGACCGTGATCGTCATCAGCGACCGCCCCGAGATCCTCGCGCGCTGCGACCGCGTCATGGAGTTGACCGACAAGGGCCTGAAAGAAGTCTCACCGAGAACGGATGGCCAACCATGAAACACCTCGGCATCATACGTTATCTGTGGATGCGCCTTGGCGCTGAAGCGAGGAGGTCGACGCGATGAACCTCGATTGGTTTGGCAGAGGAGATGCGGTCACGTCCGCATCGGCGGCGTTGCACATGTCGCAACAGCCCCTCTTTATCCAGGTCATCACGCGCCTGATGTTTGTCATGATGGTGCTCGCCGTATTCAGCCTGCTGTTTGTCCCCTGGCAGCAGAGCTCCAATGGTTACGGCCAGCTTATCGCCTACGATCCGGTCGAGCGCGAGCAAGCGATCGAGGCCCCGGTCAAGGGTCGCGTGGTGCGCTGGCACGTCAAGGAAGGCGACAAGGTCAAGAAGGGGGATATCCTCGTCGAGATCGCGGATAACGACCCTGATTACCTCAAGAGGTTGGGCGAGCAACGCGACGCGGTCGCCGCGCAGCGCGACGCGTCACGCGTGGCCAGCGAGCAGATCGAGGCGCAGCTCGAGAGCCTCAAAGAGGTCAAGCGGCTGACGCTCTCCTCGATGGACTCCAAGATCAAGATGGCGCGCAACGAGGTCGACGCCGCGCGCCTCGAGCTCCAGGCAACAGAAGGCGCCAAGAAAGCCGCCAAGCTTAACCTCGAGCGAAAGAACGCGTTGGCCGAGCAAGGGCTCACCTCACAGCGAGACCTCGAGCTCGCCGAGATGAAGTTCACCAAGGAGGAAGCCTACGTCTCCAAGGGCCGCGCGAAGTTGCTCGAGAAGCAGTCCAAGGTCCTGGCGCTTCGCGCCGAGCGCGAGTCGAAATCGAGCGATATCGACGCCAAGATCTCGGAGGTCTCGGCGAAGTATCAGAGCGAGATGAGCAAGCTCGCCAAGGCCACCGAGTCCCTCTCCAAGGCAGAGGTCAAGCTCGCCAGACAGTACCAGATGACGGTCACCGCGCCTCGTGACGGGATCATCTGGCGTGTGAGCGCGTTCGAGGGGGGCGAGATCGTCAAGGAAGGCGAGCAGCTCGCGCTGATCGTCCCGGAGATCCGCTCGCGTTCGGTCGAGCTCTGGATCGATGGCAATGACGCGCCGCTCGTTTATGAGGGGCGCGAGGTCCAGATGCAATTCGAGGGCTATCCCGCGCTCATGTTCCGCGGGTTCCCCGAGATGTCGATGGGGACTTTTTCGGGCGTGGTCGCGTTTGTCGACGCGCGCGCCGATACGACGGGCCGCTTTCGCGTCCTCGTCAAACCCCATCCTGACAAGATCGACTGGCCAAGCCGTGATTTCCTGCGCCCGGGCGCACGCGTCAACGCCTGGATCCAGCTCAATCAGGTCTCGCTCGGCTACGAGCTCTGGCGACAGCTCAACGGTTTCCCCATCATGCTCCCGGACAACAAGCTCGAAGAGCTGACCGGCGGAAGTAAGAAAGAGAGCAAGAAGGGCAAGAAGAAATGAGCCGAGAGCCAGAGAGCTACACGCTTTCTTCGACGTCGATCTCGCTCGCGATGCTCCTCGCGACGCTGTGCTGGGGCATCCCCGCGCAGGCCGCCGAGGACGTCGATGGCGAGGTCACGCTCGAAGAGGTCCTGGAGAGCGTGCGCGCCACGCACCCCAAGGTCGAGGCGTCGCGCGCCAAGGTCGCCAAGGCGCAGTCCAAACGGCAGCAAGCCATGGGCGCCTTCGACCTGACGCTCGGCAGCGGCGCGAGCTACACCACGACGGATGCCAAACACTACGGGCTGTTCGATATCACCCTCGCGCAGCCGACCACCTTCTGGGGCGTGACCTTCTTCACCGGTTATCGCCTCGATGTCGGCAAGGTCCCCGACTACAAGGACGAGTACAAGCAGAAGGTCGGCAAGAGCCTCGTCTACAAGGACAAGTACACCGTCGGGTCACCTGGTCAGATGCACGTCGGGTTGCTCGTCCCGCTCTGGCGCGGAGGACGCACCGATAAGGAGCGCACCAAGCTCAGGATGGCCGAGGCGGATATCACCGCGGCGGAGGCAGATCTCGCGCTCGCGCAGCTCGAGCTCGAGGTCAAGGCGACCGAAGCCTACCTGAAATGGATCGCGGCGGGGCAAAAGGTCGTCGCCACGCGCCAACTCCTCGAACTCGCCACCAAGCGAAACGGGCAAATCACCGAGAAGGTCAAACAGGGCGACCTCGCGCCGATCGAAGAGCTCGAGAACCGTCGCGCCATCTTGAAGCGCGAGGGCAAGCTGCTCGAAGCCGAGCAGTCCTTCTACTCGTCCGCCGTCAAGCTCTCGCTCTACCTGCGCGATGATAACCTCGAAGGTCAGATCCTCGAGGAAGACTCACTGCCTGATGACTTTGGCCCCTACAAGCTGCCATCGCGGGAAGAGGCGCTCGCGGCCGCCGAGGCCGCCGCCAAGATGCGCCCCGAGTGGCGCGTGCTCCAGGCGCAGCGCGAGCAACTGCAAGCCGAGCTCGCGCTCGCGCAGAACTCGGCCGCGCCCAAGGTCGACCTGACCGCCTCGTTTGGCAACGCGCTCGACAAGCTCAAGCCGGAGGCAAACGTCGGCATGAAGGTCGAGATGCAGCTCCAGCGCCGCGATGCCCGCGGCGCGGAAGAGACCGCGCGGGCAGAGCTCACGCGCATCGACGCCGAGCAACGCCTGCTCGTGGACACACAACGCGCCGAGGTGCTCGCCGCCTACAACGAGCTCGCGCTCGCGCACCGCGCCATCGCCGTGGCCAGCGAAGAGCTCGACATCTCGCTTCGCGGAGAACAGGCCGAACGCACCAAGCAGGAGCTCGGAGATTCGACGCTGCTCAAGGTGAACCTGCGCGAGCAATACCGCATCGAGGCCGCCACGCGCCTTATCGAGGCCAAGCGCGCAGCGCGCGCCGCGCTCGCGAACTTCTGCGCCGCCTCCGGGCAAGATCTTGTCACCTGCAT